GGTGGTGGTGGTGGTGGTGGTGGTGGTGGTGGTGTGTGTGTGAGCTCACTGTGCTGGCCATATCTGCCTTATTTGTCACGCACAGCCAGGGCCCTGGGGCCACTTTCAATGGCGATTTCCACTCTGGGCACATTCTTTTAGAGCCGTTTAAAACCCAGTTGCCACTGAATTGATTCTGACTCATGCTGACCCCGTGTTTTACCAGAGTAGAACTGTGTGCCCCAAGGGGCTCCCAAAGGCTCGATTTTCGGAAACAGCCTGCCAGGCCTTTCTTCTGAAGTGTATCTGGGAGGAGTCGAACCACCAAGCCATCCACGTGACTTGTGTGCACCTCTAAGGACTCTGGAGCCTTGGTTGTCTCCAGTGCCAGCTTGCTCTTATAAGGGGGACGGCAGAGCGCCTGTCTGAGAGGCAGTGTCAGCCACAGCCCCCTGGCTCAGGGACTGGCTACCCTTAGCTGGTAATGAATAGTGTAAGTATCTAATCAGATTCTCCAAACCACGAGTGAGTGAGCATTTAATTCCGGGTATCAGATGATTAGCAGAGTGGAGTGTGTTGGGCGTTCAGATTCATTGCCAGGCCTTGCCCTTCCCCAGAACTTGCCGTGAGTAAGTCACGCGACTTCTGCTTCGCTCTGCCTGTAGTTCATGGCGTATTCAAAGTCTCTGAAGCTGACATGGCCGTCCGAGTCCTGATCCACTTCCCTGGAAAAGGAAACCAAACGTTATTTTCGCCGGACCTGCCCGTGGGGAGCGCATGGGGGAATCCTGGCTTGTTTGGGCGCATGCCTGTGAGAGAGAATGTAAGTTCCTGGAAGGTGTATGGAAAGCCATCCCCTGCCTCCACCTCTTGTGCTTATCACACCAGAGGTGGGGAGGAGAAGAAAGAGCCCTTACAACAAGTTAGAAGAGATCCATTCTTGTTAAAGGAACGAGGCCAACTGCACAAGTTGTGTGAGAAAAGATGGAATGACTGTTTCATGCCTTCCCATCAGCCTTTCCCGGAATGGGTCCACAAGCCTGTATCCATTCCTCAGTCGACCACGTTGGATGCACAGCTCTGCCGTCAGAAACATGTTTTGTGGCCGAGTGCAACATCCTGCACATGGCTGGGTCGGTTGCTAACAAGTTCCCGCTGACTCGTGGCGGCCACAAGTGTGTCCAAGCATAAGTGTGCGCTGAAGGACTTGCAGTGGCTACCTTTGGCGAAGGAGATGACCAGGCCTTTCTTCTGCGGCACCACAGGGTAGACCTGACCCTCCCGCCTTTTGTTCATCGCCAAGCACCCACCTACCCGGGAGCTTCCACATCATGTTAAGACTGCCCACGTTGGGATTGCTGTACATCATTAGCCACTCCCTTAAGCTACCAGGGGGCTGCCGGAAATCTGTGGGGAAATTATATCATCTTCCTTTCCCTTTTCCCGTTAACGGGCTGGACATGTTGTACCCAGGAAGACACTGAGTCTTGACCACCCTGCCCGGAGGGAGCAGATGAGGAACTCCAGCCAGGATCCTGAAATTCCAACACTGTCCCAACAGCAGCTCTCTGCGCCATTCCAGATGGCTCCCTGGAGACAAGGAGCAATGCCACAGAGACACAATGATGCCATAATTCCACAGGGCGTGCCCCAGGACCAGGAGTTTGCACTGGCTTCCTGCAGGGTCTCGGACGCTCTGGTCAGCCCCCAGAGGCACTTGTGACACTCTTTGAAGTCACGCAGGATAGTGTTCAGGTGAGTTTGGGGCGGAGTGGCCCATGCTGTGCTGACCCCTAGAACTGCTACCTGAACCAGGAGTCCCGTGATAGCACCCACAGCCCGTGGCTGAGACAGCCCACCTCCGTTACTCAAACTCCCTGCTATCGAGTCGATGCCAACTCAGAGACCCTACAGGGCAAGGTGGAACTGCCCCTTTGAGTTCCCAAGACTGGAACTCTTTATGGGAGTAGAAAGCCCCATCTTTCTCCCACGGAGCAGCTGGCGGTTTCAAAGAGCCGACCTTGAAGTCAGCAGCCCCATGCGTTACCACTAGGCCACCAGGCACTGGCCATGCCTCCCAGCGATGAGGAGGCTCCAAAAGTGCAGAGGGAAATGCCAGTGTCTCTTCATCCCTTTTCCACAGACTTTTTGGAGTTCCTTCATATTTCCAGGGAAAGCACTGCTTTCAAAAGCGTTTTTCAAAACAGATGAGCCATGGTCATTGTATGGCGTAGTGCTTATGTGTTGGGCTGCGAACCACAAGGTCAGTGGTTCAAAAACATCTGCTGCTTCTCTGGACAAAGATGAGGCTTTCTACTCCTATAATGTGTGACAGTCTCAGAAACTACTGGGACAGTTCTATCCTGTCCTACAGGGTCACTATGAGTCACATCAACTCGATGGCACTGAGAAACACAGTGGATTAGGGCCCTATCAGTAGCTTCTGTGGCTGGTGCCAATGGAACCTCTGTTGGAACAACAAGTCGTAGCAGCCACACGGAGGGCTTTTTAGCAGCCAAACTGGCCTGCCTAGCAGAGCCACCCATCACTGTAACTGCCGTGAAGCAGGCTTTTAAAATAGGGCATTCTAAAACCAACCTCCTGAATATTTCATGCCAAAGTCTCAGTAGTGTCTAACGGCTCTGTAGAAGAGAGTGGTGACCATTTTTCATCCTTCTGAGGTGGAGAAAAATCTCTACTCTCGCTGCTGCTACAGGGCACAGCAGTGTGGTCCCAAGTACGGGGGAAACCACGGCCGGTGGCAGAGGCCACTGCTTTTCTCCTGGACATGACATGACGGTGGGCGAAACAGACATGACAGCGCCGCACTATTCAGGACCAAAGAGTATAATGCCCGAGCTCTGCTAAGTGATTAGAAATAATCAGCATCACACGCTACCGAGGATTGACTATAAATCAGATCATTGTAGATTGATAATATGGCCCAACTAGGATCCCCCCGCCCCAGCAGCCTTTTCACTCTGAATGCCCTGGTAGTGTAGTGGGCTGCAAGTTGGACTCTAACCACAAGGTCAGGAGTTCAAAATTACTAGTTGCTTCATGGGAGAAAGATGAAGCTTTCTACTCTTGTAGAGATTCATAGTCTCAGAAACCCACACAGGCTGTTCTATCCTGTCCTATAGTCCTTGACTCTAGAGCAGTGGTTCTCAACCTTCCTAATGCTGCACCCCTTTAATACAGCTCCTCATGTGGTGACCCCCAACCATAACATTATTTTCCTGGCTACTTCAAAACTGTCATTTTGCTACTGTGATGAATCGGGCAACCCCTGTGAAAGGGTTGTTTGATCCCCAAAGGGGTTGTGACCCACAGGTTGAGAACCGTTGCTCTAGAGGGTGATGGGGAGGAGTTTGAATTGATGTCATGCAGCAAGTTTTCCTGAACTGGTTTTGTTGCATGTATATGTTTCGGGAGGGGGGAGGGGGTGTTCAATGGAGAACCTGAAATAGTTATGTTAAGAATAAGCCGCTTCTGATACTATTCGTGTGTGTGTGTGTGTGTGTGTGTGTGTGTGTGTGTTTACTCAGACTGTGAAGCTGAATGCTTGTGGAAAGAGCACCCTGTGACAGATTTTCTCAGGAAATTGCCATATGTAACTGCCTTCACTTATTTTTTTTTTATATTGTGAAATATTTCTTTCTTTCTTTTTTAAAAATCATTTTATTTGGGCATCGTACAACTCTTATCACAATCCATACATCCATCGTGTCAAGCAGATTTGTACATTTGTTGCCATCATCATTCTCAAAACATTTGCTGTCTACTTGAGCCCTTGGCATCGGCTCCCCATTTGCCCCCCTCCCTCCCCACTCCCTCACGAACCCTTGATAATTTATAAATTATTATTATTTTGTCATATCTTACACTGTCCGACATCGCCCTTCACCCACTTTTCTGTTGTCCACCCAAACTGTAATCGGTTCCCCCTTTCTACCCCAGCTGCCCTCCACCCTCCAGGTATCGCCACTCTCACCACTGGTCCTGAAGGGATCATCTGTCCTGAATCCCCTGTGTTTCCAGTTCCTATCTGTACCAATGTACATCCTCTGGTCTAGCCAGATTTGTAGGTAGAACTGGGATCATGAGAGTGGGGGAGGAAGTATTTAGGAACTAGAGGAAAGTTGTATGTTTCATCGTTGCTACCCTGCACCCTGACTGGCTCATCTCCTCTCTGAGACCCTTCTGTAAGGGGATGTCCAGTTGCCTACAGATACCTGATCCCTTCGACACCTAATGATCACACAGGCTGGTGTGCTTCTTCCATGTGGGCTTTGTTGCTTCTGAGCTAGATGGCCACTTGTTTATCTTCAAGCCTTTAAGACCCCAGACACTAAATCTTTTGATAGCTTCACTTATTTTTCTTGATGTCTGTAATGACCCTATAGGACAGGGTAGAACTGGCCCCGTGAATTTCTGAGACTGTAACTCTTGGTGGGAGTAGAAAACCCTGTCTTTCTCCCAGACCAGGCAGAAGAGCCATCATCTGAGAGCTGAGCTTTGAAAACTGAGGCTGCAGAAGTGAGATCGTGGGCGGGAGGAGTCCCTTGACTCCCAAGCTGCAAGGTTTAGAGCCCCAAAGCCGGAAACTGGGACCCAAATGGAAACCAGGCCCATTTAAATCAAAGTGCTTGGCAGCTGAGGCTTGGTGGCTTCGATCTAGCCAAGAACCTACGGTCTCCTCGGACATCTGGATACAGAAGTAAATCCACGTCCAGAAGTGGCTTTTCAAAGAAATGATCCTGGGGAGGAAAACAATTGCCATTAGCCACAGTAAAGGCTTTATAGAAATGTTTGTCTGGTTAAAATCGAGGTGTTTCTGTTGCAGTCTGAGAGGCAAAACGGAGACCTGGAATTGTTTGGGACAGGGGAGACTCAAGAGACTTGGAACTGCTCTGATAAACTTTATTCTGAAGAATTTGGGAGCAACTGGGAGGAAGAGGATGGTTAGCAGATAAGGAGGAAGTGGGGCGCCTGAGAGGGAAGAGAATCATCCCCATAAAGCCTTTTTGGAGCCCTGGTGGCGTAGTTGGGCTGCAATCTACAAGGTCAGCAGTTCGAAACCACCAGCCTGCTCCACAGGAGAAAGAAGGGGTTTTCCACTCCCGTAAAGAGTGACAGTCTTGGAAACTTGAAGGGCCAGTACTCTGTCCCACAGGGCTGCTATGAGTCAGCTCAATGGCAGTGAATTTGCGTGTCTTTTGTTTATGAGCCCCTGGGGAGCACACAGGCTTAAGCCCTGGATGATTAACCAAAAGATGGGCAGAGGTACCACAAAAGAAGGCCTGGCGCTTTGCTTCCATAAAGGTAACAGCCGCGAAAACCCTACGGCGTGCAGTTCTACTCCGCAACACGTGGGATCGCCGTGAGTCAAAATCGCCTTGATGGCAAATGTCGTTTAATGTTTACAACAGGCTTCAACGTTGTTGCTATTGCTCATTATCCCATCTTCTCCAAGGGGCGCAGCAGAACACACCATGTGGGGTTGGGGGTACATTGGAGTGTTTGTGCTGAGTTTGGGGCTGGAAACGGAGTTCAGAGGTGAGCTCTATCTTAGCTGGTGTACTGGGGAACAAGAAAAGCCGGTGGGCCGATGATCTGGATAGTTCTGCCAATGGAACTAATTCTGAGAAAGAACGCAGAGCCCAAGACAACCAGGAAGCCACAAAGACAAAACAGAAAACCTGCTGACCCTGCAGGACAGAGT